TTATTTATTATCTAATTAAATTCATTTACTTGATATTAACATTAAAATTAATGTTAATTTTTATATTTTTTATATATAATTATAAAAAAAAAAGAAATTACCCTTAACCTTTTCTCCTAAAAAACCCTTTTTTAAAATCAAAGTTTCTTACTTTCCATCCCTTCAATCCCCGGAGTACCAACTAAGATGATATTGATTGCGCACTACAATCTATAGTTGCATTATATTTCCCAATACTATACATACTTTTGTGGCCATGACATCTAATACATGTCAAGATCTTCTTTTACTAAATGCCACTTTGTTCAGCAACTATAGGATAAAGTAATAAATAAATTTAAGTTCGCAAACCTATTCGCCGACAGGCTGATTCCATCGACAAGGAAAGGATAAGGCTAAGTATACGTATTCACTTCCTCATTTCAACCATAAATACTGGTGCCAAATTACTAGGAAAAGCATACTTACTCAGCACACCTCCTAGCCCACACCCACTTCTTCAGATTCTCCAATTCCCATAGCCTAAACACACTTCAATGGCTGTCAAAACCAAAATTTTGATCCTAGGAGGTACCGGAATCAACATCGGAAAATTTATTGTGGAAGCCAGTGCAAATTCAGGCCATCCCACCTATGTGTTAGTAAGAGAGAGCACCATCTCGGATCCTGTCAAGGGAGAAATTCTGGAGAACTTTAAAAACTTGGGGGTCAAGTTGTTATATGTAATAAGTAGAGAGACAGCACCGTCTCCTATCCTTATGATTCTGATTTTGTGTTCTCAATGGATTTTCATAGACAAATTTATTAGTACATGACAACATGTATATGTTTTGTTGGAATGCAGGGAGATATTAACAATCATGAAAGTTTGGTGAATGCAATAAAGCAAGTAGATGTGGTGATATCAACTCTAGGTCTCATGCAGATAGTAGACCAAGTCAAGATAATTTCTGCAATCAAAGAAGCTGGTAACATTAAGGTTGAGGCCTAATATCTTCCCAAATTCATTTCCTTTTTCTTCTTCTTTCTTTTCCTGATGGTAGTGAATTTGATCAGAGATTCTTACCTTCGGAGTTTGGGAGTGATGCGGATAGTGCTTACAAAATTTCAGTTGAGCCAGCTAAATCAGTAGTTTTTGGAGTCAAGACTCAAGTCCGTCGTGCTATTGAGGCTGAAGGAATCCCTTATACCTATGTCTGCTGCAATTACTTTGCTGGATATTTTCTCCCGTCTTTGTTACAGCCAGGGGCCACCACTCCCCCTAGAGACAAGGTCGCTATCCTAGGAGATGGCAATGTCAAAGGTAACGAAAACCAATGGCAAATGCCATTGATCACCTTGTGGCCTAAGTGGTCCACCCTGCTATGTGAGTTTGTGATATGACACCAAATTAAGTTTGGGTTTCAAACTTAGCTAACCACATCCCCACCCCCAAATATTCTCCTTGTTACAAATTTTTTTTTTTTAAAAAAAAAAAAAAGGAAGAAGAAGAAGAAGAAGTTGGATGTGATTCAATATATGACTATAAAATACTCTTACACTTAATCTATGTGAGATAACACTGCCTTCTTCTTAATTGAAGGTGTTTTCAACAGTGAAGTAGACATTGCGACTTACACAATCAGGGCTGTGGATGACCCAAGAACACTGAACAAGATCCTATGTGTTAGGCCTCCTAAAAACACACTCTCATTCAATGAGGTTGTTGCCATTTGGGAGAAACTGATTGGAAAAACCCTGGAAAAAACTTACATTTCAGAGGAACAAATCCTCAAAGACATCCAAGGTGAGTAGATAATCAACACCCTGCCGCAGCTTCAATTTCATTCAATGATGCTATGACCAAAACTGTCCATTTTAGCATTATCAACCAAAGCGTGGAAGGTATTCATGGTTTTCATTGACCTATGCTTTGCAGAAGCATCATTTCCAAACAATGTTGTATTATCACTGAACCACTCAGTGTTCGTGAAGGCTGATCATACCAATTTCAAGATCGAGCCATCGTTTGGGGTGGAGGCCTCTGTGCTATATCCAGATGTGGAATACACCACAGTTGAAGAATACCTTACCCAGTTTGTTTGAAAATTTCCCCACCAAAAAGCTTTCCTTGTTATTAAAAATAATTAAGTGGGAAGCTTCAAGAAGAGACTTTTTATGTACATGATACTGAGTGCCTCAGATGAGAAGGGAGGTTACTTTAATTTCTTTGAACTGTTAGATTGTCATGTAAAAATCTTAATTGGAATGCTTGTGATTGTTTTAAACATGTTAAAAGATCATCACCTACATGAATTGGAATTTGGAAGACAGTAGAAGGTGCTCATATTCACTTAAAAGTCTTCTAGGTTTAGATACTTATTGCAAGTAAATTGGAATCACACAAGAATATCTAAGCATGATTTCATATACCTAACAAAAATGATTTTTATGCATAGGATATTGCAGGGTTCCACCAAACAAAGTTCTGGTACCAGGATGAACAGAGAGTGTGGCTTCCTATGCCCTTAGGCTATAATTCTGTGCTCAGCAATTTCATAACAATTTCATACTTAGGTTATAATTCTGTACCTAACACAATTTCATATACTCTTGATCAAGAATTCGAGAACTACAACTGTGCCAAACAGACCCTTAACGTCAGCAACTATCAAAAAGCAATTGAATGCTTAATTTTCATAAAAATCCACCAGATGCTATTCTTCCACCAGTTTTGGCTTATGTATGGCCCCAGGCTTTTAACTCTGTGCCCATTATTTAACATTGAATTATGTTTGCACTATAAATGATGCTGCTTCTTTTCTTTTCTTTTCTTTTTATTATTATTATTATTATTATTATTATCACCTTCAGTTATCTTTGCACTACGAGTTATGATGCAAGTGCATAGACCAACTGCAACTTCACTAGATGAAGCAGAAATCCCTGTAAGCAAGTTTACAAGTTTTAGCAGAAGAAGTAAGGCCAACTCCTATTCTGTTCCTGCTGTGATACAAAAAAATGCAGTTCGCTATGGCTGGCAAACTTCTGCAACACCAAAAACAGAAGACAGGGTTGAACATATGGAAAATTAACACACCAACTCTGTTCAAAACTGGTCCTAAGACTGCTTTTCCCCTGCATGACATAATACATTACATAAGACTAATATATTTTGAGATCATCCATTACGAAACACCACTTGGACAGATTCCAATGACAAGGCTATGTATTTGAATTCATTTTTTACCTCACCCATAAATACTGGTGCAAAACTATTAAAGCATAGTTACTTAACACACCCACTAGCCTTTTAGTTTCATCTTCAACAATTCTCATTTCTATAGCCTAAGCATTCTTCAATGGCTGAGAAAACCAAAATTTTGATCATTGGATTGAACATTGGAAAACTCCTTGTGGAAGTCAGTGCAAATTCAGGCCATCCCACCTATGTGTTAGTAAGAGAGAGCACCGGCTCTGATCCTGTCAAGGGAGAAATTCTGGAGAATTTTAAAAACTTGGGGTCAAGTTATTAAATGTATGTCCAGGAGGGAATTTTATTCCTTATGATTCTTAAGTTTTGTGTTCTTGATTGACTACATGTATGTGCTTGTTGTAATTCAGGGAGATA